TCATGCGCTGGTGCGTGAAATTTTTAACTATTTTCCAATGTTTGAACTATTTTTGCATAGACTAAATTCAAAGCAGTGAAAATCACTAATAGGCAGTCGTTCGGTGGGCGGAATTGCACAAAACGCATGATCTCACCGACTAGTCTGGTGCACGTTGCCATTTATTGCTGTTCCGTCCTTATTCCTGTCTTTATTATTATTTCTTTGACATCCAGTCAGGGCTTATTATGATATGTTGTGAACTGGTGATGCTGGGCGGTTGCCCGTGGACAACGCATAGCCTTGATATTAACTATGTCGTGCTTTTTGGTACATCTAGATTGGTTGGATTGGTGCTGTTTTTTAAATTGACGTGGTGTTTGCAGATATCGCCTTCAAATGGTATCGATGAAAAAGCAACGAGAGAATGTAACGCTTCAAATTCAACTTGTTTGTCCGGCAAAAAAGAAGTGGGAAGCAGAGGTGAGAGTGGTGTGCTGAGCAGAGGTCGCAAGAAACGGTACCTGAGGGGTCAAATTCTCGCCATTCGAAAAGCATTCTCGGAAGAGCAGTGGTTACAGTACGCGAAGGCGCTCTATGGTGACGCACTTAAAAGTCAGCCATTCAAAAAATGCGAAATCGTAAAAGTAAGTGTTTTTTTTTTCCCAAAATTGTCCTTGTTTGATTTCTGCCATCCTCGTCATGCATGCTGTATGTCATTAGTATAAGCAGAAAAGAAGCTATAATACAATGAAATACAAATTTGTGGATGATATGATATGATTAGACAAAGGACCGCAAATTACCACCGCACATCTACCACAACCCCGACATTCCCGCTTGAAATGACTAATTTTGGCTGGGCTTCCATGGCCCTTTCTTTCTTTCCGATTTAATTAGTGTAGCGGCAGCTGTTGATATTTCGTGAGGACAGTTAGTCGTTTCGTCATCTGTTTATGTGACTCAGGAAAACTGTTTTTGGAATTGCAATAGGTCGATTTTCCTTAGATATCTTAAATGTTCCGTGCTTATTATAATATGAACAAACATATCTTGCCAACATACTTCAGAAGCTGCTTTTGGGGGGAAAACTATCAGTGCTCTGTGTGTGTTGTTGTTAAGAAAAGAGCTAGCATTCGATTGCATTCAATTGTCTTTTCGAAATTTTCATTTCGAAATTGTGTGGTGGGCAAAACTGACAATAATTTGTTGGTTGCTTTGATCAGCCTTTGTTTCATCGTTTTGTATTGTGACGACACGTCTCTAATCTGATTTCTTCTAGGAATCAACGAGTGATATGCCGAAAACAAAAAAGACAGGAAAGTGTGTCATACAAACAAAGAAACAGAATGAGCAAAAGTCATACGAAATGAAGCAGAACAAAGCACCGCTTCTGGCTTCTGTTCGTTTTTTTGATGGTTTTCTTTCTTCTGCATATTTTAAAAAATGATCTTTACTGTTGGCGTGTATCTTTTAGAAAGAAAAGAACTCATTGTACCTGATATAAAGGGAGCGGTATGAAAAACTTTGTAGGTGTGTTGACGAGGCCCGGTACTTCACAATCTTCCTCTTAGCACTCCCTCTGTAATAACTCAGAATGTGTTTTGTTATGCGTTTTTACCGCTGAGAATTTAGTTTTCATTTTTATGCACTAATTCGCAGTTCTTTTAGTGTATCACATGAAGTAGCCTAAAAGTAGCTGTTTAGAAAACTTCGCGGGACAAAACTTTTGGAATTTTGGATGGGAAATGCAGAAGAATGAAAGCGAATTTTTATCACGAGCTGTCAGTAGAAATGGGAAATAAAATGGAACGTGGAACATCAACAACAGTGGCCACACAAACGTATGTTTTTGTGAATTGGTGGAGTACTCTTCCCCAACATCCCTCTGACTTTGATAAAAAGCACTAAAGCCATTTAGAGGAGAATAGAAAATGCATAAAATTGAAACGTATGGCGCAGTTTCTCATCGAAAAAGTTGGAAATGTATAAAAAAATTTAAAGTGACAGCACCACATCTTGTTCGAAACGAATTATTTGGTCCGGAAACTGCTAAAATCAAGTTTTTAAATGCCACAGCTTGTGCTGCATTTCGGACAAGCGTGCCGTTTTGAACTTGTGGTGCCAGAATCGAAATCCATCCACTGTTTTCGGAAGATGGTTTTTGCATGCAGAATTGAACTGCAGCGAAGCTGGCCGGGGTTTTGCACGCTTTCCATTGCCGTACACAGATTTGGGCTTC